GGGAAAGTTTTGTTTGTTCCTAGTAACCCACAGCATTGTTCTATAGAGGGTAGGGGAGGAATATAGCCCAACAGTAATAATTAATTGAACATAGATTTAGAATTTTAGGCTATATCTATAAAATTTAATACATGTAGAGTCATCTGTCGCACCAAATTTATTCTTCGCAAAACAGAGCTGATTAGGATTTCTGGAAAATGAAAATGTTGCAAAGTTAACTTAAGCCTTATTCACACCAACAAAAAAATGTTTAAACCAGTAATTTAATCAAATGAAAATCAGTAAAAGAAAACTAAATGACTGGCTTTTATCGAACAATTCAATTCTGGATTTTTTTAGGTAAGAAAATTTGACAAGTATTTTTTGGATGGCTTGATTAAGAAGGGATTTATTTGGGTAGTCAAAACAATCTTAAGATGTTTTTGGGTGTCTTGAGTGTTGCTAGAAGGTCTACCAGCTGCAGAAAAGATAACTTCACATGGTATGATGAATAAACAAACACAAACATTCAATTTCTAATGTTTTTATTTTTTGTGTTACATCATTTAATGATTAGTGGAAATGTTTAAGGCTCAGAGTTTCAACATAGAATTTTCTTGGGGTTTATTTTTTGCTTTTTCGGTGGGTTTTGTTGGAAGCTTTAGGGTTTTTGGGGGTTTGATTTTTGCCTCCATTCGATCAGCCTGCTCACTTGAAATCCTGAGTACCCAGAACCCACTCCCCGCTGCAGCTTCCCCATTTGGAATTGTCCTCAAAGAAGTTGAAAGATTTGAACTGACATACCGGTAGCTGTCTTTCTAGATCATAGCATTGAAATAACGAAACGTTAAGGTGCAATATTTCTTATTTCCCCCTACAAAGATCAAATTGTATGACTGGCGGAAAGAGCGAGGGAAAGTGAAGAAAGAGTGAAAGTATTCTGTGATGGTCACTGGAGAACAGTATGCGATGACCAATGGGAAATCAACAACTTTTTTATTTCAGATGTGATATGCAAAATGCCGAATTATTCCCCACCCCACTCCCCCTGACACAGAGTTCAAGAAAATGTTGTTTTGTGCTCCTTTTTTGCCAAATTTGTAGTTGAGAAACGTCAATAGGCGGCTTTTATAGAGGAAATAATTTTAAAACAATGTTTAAAACTAAACAGCTTTTAAACATGTTCAAGTTTTGGTGTAAATGGGGCATTAGACTTGTGTGATGGCTGGCTACTTGCACTAACAGGTCACATAACCAATGCTTCCTTTAAACAATGAGTTAGAATCTTGCCAAAAATTGACAGAGTAGTTAAAAATTATCTTACACCCAAAATTTGAGACGAAACACATTTAAGGGAGACATTTATGGCACTTTGATATTTCAACAAAGTAGTATGATTTGTATTGGCTGCCATGTTGGAGGGCATACTCTTGCCCTCCAACATGGCGGCCAAAACTACTTTCTCCTTGTATCTTGTTAAACATTTGATAGTTAAGCTCAGATGTGCTGCAAATGTTACCACATCATCTCTTCAACATTTTCCTTGCAGCTTAAGTGCAAAATTTGTGTTCAGAAAGAGGTAATTCATGATTTTGAATATTGCATCCTGGTCACGTGACCAGCTGCAAACTTGCTCATTTTAACAAAATGGTGCTGGTTTGAAAAACCAAATCCCTATTATTTTGTTTAAGATATGACCCACTAATCGTTTTTCCAAGGCAAAATCATGTAACTTTCATTTTCTTAAAAATGATGTCACATGACCTCTCAGTGCAAATGGCCTGTTCTGTGTGGCAATTTAACTGAACTCAGACTTGTCTGATATGGGGTCTAACTTTGTTTAACAAAGAAAACTCAGAATTTTCATACATGTGCAACTCCGATCTGGTGTACTGGGCCGATGGCAAATCAGTTTAAATCTGCATCTTCATCATATCTAAGCTAAAGTTTGATGCTAGACACGTTTTGCCATTTTTACCTAACTCTAACTATTGGTACCAAATTGACTTGAACGTAAACTCACCAACTCGATATATGAAGTGTTAACCTTTAACACAAACCTACCTTTTCTGATCTGCGAGTTGTACCACTAAAGTTCATTCTTCTTCTCCCCACGCTCATTTCATTCGGGTAAAACCAAGGTAAAACCGAACCCTGTTGTCGCGCATGAAAACTTTTGGCGCCAACTCATGACGTCACCAGGAGCGTCACCCAAGACCACAGGCACTCCAGTTTTGTTGGATTTTATAAGAAAACGTGTGGTAGTAGGGGAAAGTTCATTTAATATGACAAGGGGGGGGGGGGGGGTGGAGGGGGG